CCGTCGCTTTGAAGAGAGGAGAATCTTTCATTACTCAACAGCGGGAGAGGCAGAGATGATAGGGGGAAGAGAAGAAGTGGCCCATTGTCCTGCACTCTCCTTCGGCTTCGGTGGTAATTGTGTCGGGTAATTACAGAGAGGCAGAGGCAGGTGTGGAGCGCGCACCTGGGGACACGAAGACGGTGAGCGCCGGCGCTGGAAACACGGAGAAAGTGTTCGTATCTGTATCAGTATCAGTGAATCATGGGAGTCGGTCTTTATTTTTCCAACACCAATGAAGCTAAAGAGGTTGCTGTAAACTGAAAAAATGGAAAAGTAAAGTTATTATAATAAAACATTTCATACAATTCATATTTAATTGTATGTAAAGTATTATTATATTTACCTTTCATACATTTTTCAGTACAACTCAAAATTATTCAGTACTTTGAAGATAAGACTACAAATATCTTTAAACATTGCTATAGAAAAAAAGGATATGTTATTAAATTGATAGATCATTTTTCTATGCAAGTCTATATTATTTTTTATTTTAACATACCTAGATTTTGACACAACTTTACAAAGATGAGTGGATCTATCTTCCTGATTTCAGTGGATGTGATCGACAGGCGGGTTAACCAATCAGAGAGACGGATGCGCTGTTAGAGTCAAAAACAATGGCTGTTTAAGCGTGAAAAATAGAAACACAACAACAAGAACATAAAGGACTGAAAAACAACATGGATTTTTCTCATAATCAACTACCAAAGCACCAAACTATTACTTACCTCGAGTAAAATAAGTTATACATTTCAGGCTCTATGGTCGATTCTAGTAGCCTTTCACTTCGTAGAAATTGTCTGACCTCGCAGTGTTAGAATTCATTCGCTTGACGGTAGACGGGTACTTTTTTCTTTTAAACAATTGCTGCTATTTGGTTGTGGCGTATGTAATGTGTCACTAACGGGGCTAACTGGTATATTAAGCTTTTCCCAAATCCCATAGGAAGAAGGGCAATAACGTCTTTCTCCTTGATAAAATTCACCAAACATTCTCTTTGTTCCGGCTTTAAATCCTCGATCTCTGGAATCGTTGACAACACTGAATATATGGCTTTTCGCTGATTGGCTGGTGCCTGAACTTGCACTTCCGGAGTTTTTGCGAACCATTTAGTGTATTTTGATTCCTGACCTAGTTGCTGAAGAGAAATGAAACTGAGCGGAGGCAATAGGTGGCGCCAGCCTGGCTACGATTCCAGGTGCTTCTGGATTTGAACAGAATGCTGGTCAGGCTGTTTACAAGACATAATGCAATAAATCTAGCTTTGATGAGGCTAACCATGTAAAACCAAAGGCCTTATGACCCCCTTAAACTACTCACGTTTTGGTCTTGACCCACTAGTTTTTACTCACTCTAATATTCTTTTTTACAAAGCATGTGTCATTGACGGAGCCCCCATAGAGCTGCTCGTGTGTCACTAGCTTAGTAAAGTCCTCAGACACTGGTCACTGTCTGAATGACAACATGAACCTACACAGTCTGGGCCCCATCTGCTTTAAATTATACTGCATCTGTATGGCTTTACTGGAAATACAATAACATCTCACTCTCACTCATTCACCACAATGAATTCATAATGAGACTGATTACAATCACTTAATTGATAAATCTGACCGCTTGGTTCATCTTCCAGTGAATCACAGGCTATAAATAGATTTCTTATTGCATGTTTGGGGTCTCATGTTACGCTATGTTATGTAGTCTGCAGACAAGTGTGATGATGTAAGAAGGGTTTAACATGAGATCTATTTTTTTTAGCTGTTACCGTAAAAGAATTCAACTGGGAAACTGACCGGAAGAAAGGAAGCCATTTGGCCAGAGTCCAGATGAGATCTTTGAGTTTGGAGACGTCACAGAGCTTCTGAAAACAAAGGTGGAGCTCAGTTGTTTAATAAAAGTGTCTGGCTACTGAGACACTGGTCTGACTGTATCACCTGTTGACCTACTGCTGGCTACTATCCATGGGGTTTTGTAAGATGAGAAAGTAGGATTGTTGTCATCACAGAAATTATACCTCTTGAATGGGAAAAAGGTCAAAATGTTGCTCATAAAAGGAAAATGGAATCCATGAATACTACAATATGAATATATATATATATATATATATATATATATATATATATATATATATATATATATATATATATATATATATATATATATATATATATATATATATATATATCGAATAATCATTTTTTTCTTAATTTAAGTTTAGTTACATTTTATTTATTTATTTACTTATTTAAAGTTTACATGTATGTAATAAACTTATCTATCTTAGGTATATTCAATTACTCTTATTACATATCTGACCTGTAACTGACCTGGTTGCATCAACTGCTTATCTTCTTCTTCTTATCTTAATAGAAATGTTTAATGCCATATTGTGGAACCTTCTGGGCAGGTGGGAGATGAAATAACATAGTGCCTCCGCTCAATTTAATTTCTCTCCAGCGACTAGGTCAGGAATCAGAATACACTAGATGGTTTGAAAGAACCCCAGAAGTTGTAGACTACACATTGGCCAATCAATGAAGAACATGATGAAGCCATGATGTCAAACTCAAGTGCCTGTCTGGGTCCCTTTTGTGGTACAGCACAACAGTAAACAAATCAGTCGAGGTGGATGTAGATGAAGCCATACATTCTGTGTTGGCAACAATTCCCGAGATCAAGGGAATATAATAATATAATAATATACCATTTAGTCCCGTTAGTGCCGCATTACATACATCATGACCAAATAGCAGCGATTGGTTAAAAAAAAAAGTACCTGCGTACCGCTGAGTGAACGAATCTTAATGCTGTGAGAAACCAGCAAATCCAACTAGATGGTGGACCTTTGACTAGAAAAGTTACATAGTGGGCATTTAATTTGAGTTTGTTTTTACTTGTTCAGATGTATTTTGTTAATAGCCTTAGTTCAGTACATTACGTCTTATTTCAAGCATATTTATTAAACTAATTTGCCAATAGGTAAAACAATGTCCTCACCCCAATGTGACTGTGTCCTTAAATCTTATTGGTAATTCAATATAATGTAGTCAAACCACAGGTTATTACTAAAATTCAAGTTATTTTGCACTGTGTCGTCTGGCTTTGTGATTAAACTGTATGCCAATGTGTAAGGTGGGGGCACAGAGGGCAGATGGTGCAGATTGGCAGCCTCACTACCCCAAGGCAGCTGTGGCTTCAGAAATATCTTCCCAACCTCAAATATAGTGACTGAAAAATGCTATGTAACACACTTTGATTGGTTCTATATAAATCAAAATCTTTATTATCATTATGACTTTATGAGCTGCCAACATGCGCTGTCTGTTTATCTAGCCTACTGCGTTGTTCAAATAAAATTCGGTAATCCAGTCACTGTGTGTATACCACTTGAAACTGGTGTCACTTCCACTAAAGGGAAATTAAAATCTCCCATGGGCCCTTAACTCACCATCTTAACCTTTGCATTAGCTTACCTTAGTTAAAGGTAGTGTGTGTGTGGTCCAAACTGCCTCATTTGTGTCCTGAGTCATTAACCTTTGTGAAGTGCTGCCATTATTACAGGAAATGAGAGCGTGTTATAGGAGCAGATGACAGTGCACTGGTGTGATTGCATCTTTAGTCAGGTACCAGAGCTGCGCAGTCTTGAGTTACATTTATTTGAGTAACTTTAAAGGAAATAATTATTCTTGGAGTCGTTTTCAGACTGCAGCCCTGTTTGAGTAATCACTTGAGCACTTACTGGTCTAAAAGTTTTGGTTAAAATGTAGAAAATACTGAGACTAAGTTTGATCTGGACTAGACCTAAACTAAACCTGGACTAAACCTTCTTCTTGTTTTTATCGGATTCAGGTATTCTTAGAAGATTGCTACTGTGGGGTTGCCTCTTCATAGATCTGACCTAGACGTTGCCCAGTGACGCCACCCGCTTTTCTCCATTTTAGACAAAGCAACATCTCCACCATGGCAACAAGCAGCTTTAACTAACCACAACCACTAACATGCAAAAGTAGTTTCTTTAAAAATAGTTAGTCCTTCAGTAACATTTACTTGAGTATCTTTTTATAAAATAATATAATATTTAGTTTGACGTAACAGTACTGGAGATGTAACGATATCCCAATTTTTCGGTACGATTTTTTCACGATATGCATCTCATGGTACGATGCTTATTGTGGTATTTTGTAGAAGCTAACAGAATTGTGAATACACTACTTTTTCCTTTAAAATGCCTTGACAAGACTTTTGTTCTGTCATAAACCTAAGAATTAAGATCTAAAAGTGCTTAATAAGTAATTTCATCATGTAAATTGGATTGAAATAGAGCAGAGGATCATGGGCTGTGTAGTTCCCTCTGTTTTTTATTTAGCTATTGCTTCACCAAAACAGTGAATTTAAGCAAAGAAACTTGTAATTCGATATATATTGTGATGACCCACGATATTACTGAGAGACTTGACGAAACAATATCACGATATTTCAGTTATTGTTACATCTCTAAACAGTACTCTTACTTTTTGTGAGTAAGTCTATTATAGACAAAACCTCATGTTGACCATATAAATAATTTGAACATCTGTCCTTGAAAATAACAGATTTTGTGCATTATTTAAGGTTTTCTCCTCACAATTAAATCAACTTTAAATTACAAATCAAATGTTCCGTCTAGACTCTCGAGTAGTAGTTTCCCTAAATACTTTTTTATTGTTACTTGAGTCATTTTATGAATCAATACTTCTACTTGAGTAATATTATTCTAGTAGTAGCGTTACTTGAGCACAATTTTAATCCACTCTATCCACCTCTGCTCTTTACCTGCAGACTAATAATTTACAATCAGAGAGGACTGAGAGCTGCACTGCCCCCTAGTGGATCATTAGTGATTGAAACGAGGCCAGTGCCAAACCCCAGGGGCCTGTCTGTGGGAAATAGACTCGTCAAACATTACACGGAAACTCTGGGTCTTTTACATTGAAACTTTATTAAAAACAAGCTGTTAAACCCAAGCACAGAAGCCAAGTCAAACAGGCCCGTAAAGCATTACACAACATAGACAAATACACTGGTTTCACTCAAGTAATATCTGGGAGAAATACCAGATGCAATATACTTCAAATTTGTAATGTCTCACTATAAATGAAATGATATGCAAAATTCAAAGACTATTTATTATCTCCATAACAAATGACTGCTAAGTGTGACTTCACCAGCCCAAATGTCCCACAGTCCCACAGTAAAACAACACAAATGGGACTTTTAAACACATATCAAGGGGTAGAAACAGTTGCTTAAAGCTAAAAATATCAGTAGGAGTATTGATTTGCCCAATAAAATATATTGTTTAATGTTGGAGGGATGTCTTGTCTGGCCTGGGAATGTCTTGGGGTCCCCCTGGAGGACCTGGAGGAAGTGTCCAGGCTGAAGGAAGTCTGGGAGTCCCCAATTTCCCGGCCTCGGATAAGTAAAAGAAAATGGATGGATGGAGGTGCAATATGTAACCTTTCATGTAGAGGGACTGCCACCTGCTTTTCTCGATGGAAATGTTATTTATTTGTCTGGAATGTTTCACCATAATGCATTAAACAGTTCTTTCTCACGGTAGACGTGCAGGTGATCACTAAGTCAACAGGTTACAGGTGAGATCTGCGGAGACGGTGAGTAAGAATGGGTGTTTTGCATGCCAGGAAAGCAATAAAACACCTCTGTTCTAGACAAAGCAATAACACTTCCATGGAGACAATCAGTTTTGCACCTTTGTTTGTGTTTGAATATTATCTAACAAAAAATCTGAGAGTTTACGGTAGTTATTGGTGCAACAGCTTATTCTTTGGAGCAGATTCAAATCTTCCAAAATGCCTTTGTAGTGACGAGGCTGGAATTCCACTGGACCCGGAAATAGAGTTATGGCGTCACCACTTAACTGCCCCACAGGTTGCGTTCACGATCCAAGAATTTGATGCTGTCATAATCATCAAGGGTGCAATATAAGTCTATGTGGTAGATGGCTATTTTTGAAGAAAACGTCCTCACTGGAAAATCCACAAACTTGCACAAACAAAAAAAACCTGTAACTAAATCTGGACTAGACTAAACCAGGACTAGAACATGAATCAAGTCTACATCACACCGAGACCAAATGTGTGAATGAACCTTTAATAACTTCACATACTTTTATATATTGAAATATTTTCTGGTGCCTTTGCCACTATATTAAAAGTACTGAAGCCTTTGAAAATTGTGCTCGTTTTAGTTATCTTGATAGAACCATTAATCACAAGGATGTTAACCGTAACCAGATCAAAACATCTGATAGCTTTCTGACCTGCCCTCCACCTCATTTTTAAACAATGTGTTCTTTTAACCACTGTCATGTGTAGTGAACGCAACCTATTAACTAACCACCACATGCAGGAGTAGTTTCTTTCAAAAACCTTTAGTCTTGCGTCAGTTCTTGGCGTCGCTCACAGCCTGGTTCTCTGATTGGCAGGCAGCTCGTCCTGGTCAAGTCCCCACAAGAAGGTGCGGAGCCTGGTGACCTCCTTCTGCAGTTCAGGGCTCGGGATCGGCTGGGACAGGTCCAGTCTGGGAGTCTCATTTGGGAGGATTAAAGGAGGGTGGTCCAGGAAGCTCTCAAAGATGTCTGACACAAAACAGAAACAATGACGACAGTTAAAGCTGCTTGTTTGATCTGTACTGCAGAAAAATATTCATAATGGGCTTTAAGTGGTGAAAGAATTGGATTTGCTATTAACTATTATGCAATCCTTTGAAAAATGAAATACCCTACAGGAAAATGTCTTGTCACCAAAAACCATGGATACATTCATTTTGGAAATATGTCTGTATTGTTTTTGATTAATTTGTTTCGATCATTTTATTTTCTCATTTCTGGTCAAATTACTCTCAGAGGGAATATGAAAATTGCTTAAACTTAAGGAGGGTGTATTATGCAATCAACTTTTTGAGCTTTCTACCCTGCCATAACGTTGTTCACGCATCAAAAACATGCCTGAAGTGGCTTTAAACATCATCCATACATGTTTGAGTAATATAGTGATCTCTCCTAGGCCCTTTTCAAACACACCTTATGGTTAACAGTTTGATTCTGTCCAATGCTCAGCCCACAAGCCCACACAGCAATTTTCCATAATATGTTGCAAATATAGCATGTCAAAACAATAAAAGGTAACATGGTGATCTAAATATGTTATGTGTTTCCATACAAGTGTAAGACCGTCTCTTTAATAATTCAACTTGAAAGGCATAAAAAAATATGGCTCTTCATGTATACCAATAAGTCATGTACTGGAGCTGTTACATATTTATTTGTGTTACCTCCGCTGAGATCGGTGCCTGGAGGTGGGGCCCAGGAGGATGGAGGTGCCCGCGTTGGACCCAGTTTGTAGTGGGTGAGGAGGTGATGGAGCTGGGCTGGGCTCAACAAGGCGTGGTCCTCCTGCAGGCTGCTCCAGGACGACTACAGAACAATATCGTGTTATGTTCACAATAATTAATAAAAATAATAATTACGTCTGTAGGCTGTTTTAACTTGATGACATTTGCGAGTGTTTATAGATCATTTTGCTTGATGTAAGAAAATGGAAATAGAAATGGCTCTCAAGTCCAATTTTAGTTGTTTCCAGATTTAGTTTAGTTTGGTTAAAGTGAGAATTCTGAATCCAAGTCATTTAAAACTAGCTCTTTTCATCTTTTGCAGTGCATCAGTCTGAGAAAGAATGAGAAATGCTGCGGTGTAGACGGTGCACTGACCTGGATGAGTCTGGTTTTGGGAATGCACAGGAAGTTGACTATGACAGACAGTTTCTTCATGAACTCAGAGGCAATATCTCCTAATCCTGCTCCCTGGAGCCAGTCCAACACCAGATCCAGGTTAGTCCGGATCTGAACAGCTCTGGACCATGAGAACAGACCATCTGAAACACACATTGCATCATTATATACTTTACATTTTACGAAGAGCCACAATATTAACTGTAAAGGACAATTTTGATTAAGTATAGATCTTTTTGGCCACTGAAAAGCTTTATAGTGTAGTTTATTTAGTTAATCAGACAGTCCATAGTTTACATTAACCTTGATTGTAGCACTAGAGCTAATTTCCACCTGTAGTCCCTGGGCAGGCTGATGTTATAGTTCATAAAATCAATTTTCTGTAACATTATTCACATCCAGTTCTCTCAGCGGCATAAAATGGTCTGTATCCTCAGTTCAGTTCACTCACTCCAGAACTTCACACCCTCTCCAGACCACACACACACATCAGTCCACATTATGGGAGCAGTTTTGGTTTGAGAGGAGCCATTGTTTCACCAGGCGTGACAATGTGCCATAGTTGTTACATGTAGTCAGCTCTGTGTTGCAGTATTTCTCAAACTGTGGTATGTACCATATTTGGTGGGTACAATCCCCATAGTTCAAATATTTGCAGAATTTAGAGTCGATTGAATCCACATTTGGGTTTGTTCTTGTTTAGTAGAATAATTGTGTAGTCCTGTTTTAGACCTGGTTTAGATCTGGTGGCACTTGGAATATTTTCTTTTTCGCATTGAGTGGTTCTTCACTCAATGGGGGCAAGTTATAACCATAGCCAAGCTGTCTGGGGCTGGGCTGACTGATGTGGCTGCCAACTTGCCCCAAGTTTGGAAATCTGGTTTTGAAAAGTCAAAGATGGAGCGCAATTGCAAATTTGTATTTTGTTTTTAATTTGGGTTTAGTTTATTTTTTTCAGCTTGTATTTTGTTACCTCTCTCCAACAGCGTGTTGAGTAGCGAGGTGTTGGTGAAGAAGAAGAGGTAGCCAAATGTTTGGGAGGTGAGAGGAGGCGACAGACAGGCTTCTCTGGAGAGCAAGAGGGAGCAGCGGTAAACCTCCACCAGACCTGCCACTCTGGGAGGTAAGGCCGAAACATCGTCCACGTCCCTCTTCTCCTCTCCCTCTGCTCCTGCTCCTCCATCCTTCTCTTTGTCCTTGTCTTCACTGGAGAACGGGTTTGTGTCCAAAAGAGCAGGGAGCAGAGAGTACAGTGTCTGTGAGGAAAAAGAAGAGGCATGGTTCATTTATTTTTTTGCAAATAATATTCTGGTGCAATATGAGGTTCAAAATAGCAATATTTAAATGATGTCTGTGTAATCGTACAGATAGGTTCCATGTCCAGTTTACACAATTCAGCTTTCCAGCTTTTCTGCTAACATCTAAATCAGGGGTTTCCAACCTGTAGCTCGCCAAGGGATTTCTGAATTGCACATATTGTGCTGAATACTTCAAATTTGACTGATTAAATGCCTATTTCCTTTGTAAATTTATACTTTTTATGCCTAAATTTGTACACTGATAACTGGATAATGGGTTATGTTTTATAGACATATAACTGTACCTCATCTTCGGCTAACCATGGCTGGGAACCAACTACCAACCTTTAATTTATGGGTGAACACGACCACTGAGATGCACCCATGCCAAATTCTCTAAATAAATCTTGCAAAAAGTGCACTAAGTAACTTTTTAGGTGGAGAATCTGCCACCTGCTTGTCTCTGTGAAGATGTTATTGCTTTGCCTGGAAAGTTCCACAGTGCAGCATTAAAAGTATCAAGCAGGCAACTTACGGGCCTGATCTGTAGAGAGTCAACCCTGGTCACTGTCAGAATGCATGTTTTTCAGGTAGTTCTTCAATAACATTTCCATGAGACAGGCAGGTATTGGACCTCCCAATATTGGGGTAATGTTATATTGGAAATGTCACATAGTGCATCTTTAAAACAAGACAAAACTGCTGCATTCACATTTGCCCTGGCTGGGTCCTGGCTTGATCCAGTTTAGACTGTAGACTTGGTCTTAATTTTCATGTGGTGCATGTGCAAGTATGACCATAGCCATGTTGAAACCAGTGAAGTAAAAATAGGAATCTAGACCTACCACCACCTAAATGTATCCAAATGACACAAGACAAACATTCACAATCCAAGCCACTTTTAACACAGTGGTCCCAGTGTTTCTATTTAGGGAGTGTTTTCACCTTAGTGAGATGATACACACACTGCTGAAAGGTGTGCATAATGACATCATCCAGCTGCGCCAGGGCCTCCGAGCAGGTGTCCATGTCAGCCGTCAAAACAGGGTCGCCCGGGGCTACGGAGAGGCACCCATTAAGACAGATTAAAGACCAAACGCAAGCTCTAATTTTTATGTTGGCTGCACTTCTGTATTACATAGATTACAAGGGAAAGGTAATTCTTTTTTTAGTCAGCAGTTTCTTTTATTATTTTCTAACAACTCCGTGCATTCAGGTATATATTACACAAGAAGAATTGTTGCCATGGTGACCTATAGTAAGGGCTATTCAGTTTCAAGCAGCCTTTTTTTTTTTTTACTTTTTTGTATTCCTGCTTTAGCTAATGTCATTGTTTTCTACAAAAAAACTTTATTAACATTCATTTTTGACAAATAAGTAACATAATTATCAGTGGATGTGCCCATATACTGTATAAGCATGCAAGTGTACTGTAATCCTGCATAAACTACAGAGCAGTGCAGCAATTATACCCTGTTTGTTCTCCTGTGTTTTATACATAATTTATGGTTCAAACCTTCAAACTCCCACTCCTTGTCCATGGTTTCCACTTTGACCTGGAAGAAGTTCAGGAGCTCAGTGGCGTTGGACATCCAGAACATTAGAGGCCGGAGATCCGAGGAGAGGGCCTGCACACTGGGCATGCTGATCTCTGTCTCCTGCTCTGTGGAACTGAGTGAAGAAACCAAAATGTAGCAAAAATATAATGCATATTACTGCAAAAACTAATATCTATATAAATTAAAGTTACTTGAATTAAGAACATTTTATCTTGAGTAGATTTAACCTGACAAGTAAAAATATCTATAATCTCTGCTGCATGTATTTTTCTGGAAATGTTATTGCTTTGCCTGGAATGTTCCACAGAGGGGCATTAAACTTATCATGCATTCTTACAGTAAGCATGATCATTTCTCCACACAGCTGGTGTGGAGAAATGACTCAGCCTGGTGGTGTCACCTGCTTTTCTCCATGGAGATAGATAAGTTTAATGCCATACTGTGGAACATTCTGAACAAAGCAATGATGTTTCAGTGGAGACCAGATATATATTCTTAATCCATGTAGTTTTACCTTATAATTTACTTGTTGCAGTAAACATATATATATTTTTTTTCATTTCACAAATATGAATGAAAAGTGCTCTTACTTTTGCGTGGGATGCTTATCCCCAAATTCCTTGATGTTATCCTGTGAAGAGAGTTGGACACAGAAGAGAGGGTTGTGGGGGCGGAGGGGAGCAGAGTCTCGCCCTGCAGCCAGGACAATTACAGCACATTTTCCAGCAGCAGGGAAGTGACATCAACTCATCCCCTCTGCTGTCTACAACACTGGGCCACAACATGGGCCACAATGAACAAATACTAAGTGGTCATATTTATATAGTGTTTTCTACCTTCAAGGTACTCAAAGTATCACTCACCCATTCACACACATTCATCAGAGTTAAGTGTCTTGCTCAAGGACACAACAACAGCATTCATCTGTGGGAGCTCAGATCGAACCGCCAACCTCTGGATCAATGGATCTGACCTCTCTGCCAACAATGTTTACATCCAGAGCGGATTTCGAATTGCTGACCTTTAGCTCAGAGATCACTTTAACTAAGCTACTGCCACGCTGTCCACAACACTGGACCACAATGAAGAGCGGCTGTACGGCATTGGACCACACAACACTGCGCCACAGTGAAGACTCATGTCTGTTTGTTTTTCTGACTGGACCTGGAGATCTTCATATGTCTGCCTTCAATTATCCTCACACATTAGTCAGTACCCAAGCCAGTTACCCAAACACTCTTTATTCTTAGTGTGTCTTTCACTTACCCACACGATTTCTTTAATCAGATTAGCTGCTTTTAGTAGTATTTGTGGTGTGAGGGCAGGGTCCAAGTGTTTTGAAGCATGATCAATCATGATTGACAGCAAATATGCAGGAGCTAAAGGCCCACCCCCCGAGTCTGGAGAAGAATTTTTGGAGATGATTTCCTGAAACAAAAGTCAACATTTATGAGTTGTTCCCAAACAAGAGGAGGAATATTGCATGATATTATTGTTACTTGTAACAGGGTGTCCGCATGACGAGGGTGGAATTTCAAAATGGCCTCACTTGACCCGAGGTACTGCCTTAGGGCCTCCTGTCGATCCACCAGACCTGAGGGGCAGCAGGTGGAGGTGGCATCGCTCTGCCAGGGCAGAGTCAGAGCTAGGGGGGGAGCCGGAGACACTCGAGGGTCCCGGTATAAGAAGAGGAAATGCTCCCCAACACCAATGACATCTCCTGGCTTTAGTACGGTCTCCCTGTACACACACACCCCGTTGTGCGTGACGGCTCCTCCTCTGAAGGGCCTCATCAAAGCTAGGAGGAGCAGAACAACATCAGGTCTATGTTTAGCGTGTTATGTTTTACCGTGTATCAGTTTATCGCCCTAAACATCTTCTGTGTGTTTACTGCACCTTGTCCAGAGGGCGCTTCGGGGACAGCCGAGTCTCTGCGGATCAACAAATGTCGAGCCAAAAGATCTGGAGCCGACAAAAATGTGTCAACCTTCAGAGGCCTCTTCCCCTTCTTCTCCCTCTCTCTGTCCTTCTCTCTCTCCTTGAGCGTTGGCTTCCTCCCAAAAACATGCATGTGTCCTGTCATGATGTACAACACAAAGTCCTGCAGAAGACAGGGAGGTCTGTTATCTTGGACTGTTATGGTTTAAATGAATCTCTCTCTCATCTGAAGATGATACGTTCAGCAGAAGCAGATGATAAGGAATGAAGTGTGCCACAGTTTGAAACAATAGACGTTGTGATGTTACTGTGAGAACCGCACACAGAGGACGTGTGTTTTGTAGAGGCAGGTTGTTGAGGCTTTTTGTCGCTATGACGATGTTTATGCGGGATGCAGAAAGGGAGAGGTTAGCGCAGGGATGGAAAGGCTGATGGTATGCTGCGATTACAGACATGCAGGTCTGATGTCATCTGGGTGTGTGGACCTACACTCAAATCTGCTCAGACAAATTGACTGTTAGACATAAATGCTACTGTATGTGCAAGCATATGTTCTGTACATAGGTCAGTGTTTCCCACCATTTTTTCAGTTTCATGACTTCACCCTGAGGAGCTGCTTTAAAATATGTTTACTCTTGTGAACTTCTGTTTTGGGTTATACTTTTGTGACCTTCTCTCACTTTGATCTGTGGTAAATGTGGTAATAATAGAGTCAGCTATTTAAACTGGCGGCCCTGTTAGTGCACTACTGCCTTACAAACTGCTTCTTGAGATTCGGAGAAGTCCCTTGTTGTAATGCCAGGTTACCTTGCTCTGATCGTAGCCTTGTAGGAGCAAGAAGTACGGTCGGTCGGTCGGAGGGAGGATCAGACTCTGGGACATCACTTCCAGGTCACAGGTGGAGTAGTCCTTCTCTTCTTCTGCAGTCTGATGAGTCCATCCAACTTTGGCTTCAGGTCTGGGTCTGATCTGTAATTATCAGTTTTAATAGATCATTAAAAGGCTTCTGTCTTGTTACACAGTAAAAATAAAATTCCTAGAGGAGTTAAAATTACTTATTTTTTGTTAACTTGAACCTAAATATCTTGAAACCAGTGAAATTTTCTTTGATGCATAATTCATTAAACCCAAACGTCTCAAAACTATTCAAACCAGATTAATACTCTTAATTCAAATCATTTTAAGTGAGATTGGATACACCACTTTTACAGGATAGTCTCTCACATGTATGGCTCCTTACCTCTCCTGGCTGTGGGCTGATCATGCTCACTATATTCTTCCTGTCCGGCCCCTCTGAACTGTTGTTGTTCGTGCGGTTGTTTGTCCCGCGCTGGTCGTTGCTCACGTGGTTTCCTTGGCGACGGCTCCGGCTCAGGTTCATGTCACTGATGCTTCTTCTCAGTTCTGTGTTTCTTCCTCGATGGCCCCGCTCCTCCTCGGGACCCCCTCCTGACGCCATTCTGCTACGGCGCCAGCGAACACCTAAAAACACAGAATACACATGGTAAAGGTATAATCGCACACACATTTATTATTCAATATTAGGGTCGTACAGTCTCAGGTGACTCAAAGCCATTTATTAAATCGAAAATATTGCAGTTATTTAGGTACTTGAATGTCCGTGGCAAATTAGCGCTGCATGATTTTGGAAAAAAAGAAAAAAAATCTGAAATGTACTGCAATTGTGATTTGCAATATATGTTTAAAGGATAGGTTTCCATTCAGAGAGCAAACCAATCCAGGAGTATTAACATTTGAGAGTAGACTGAAATCTGATAAATTGTACTGATGAACTAACGCAAAAATCTCATGCATTTCAGAACATGTTTGTAGAGGTCTAAATTACAGGTACAACAAGATACTTCTATAAAAAGACAGAATGTTTTGTTCTATTATCTAAGTAATTGTAGCCTTTGTGATTTGATAATTGCTATTTCATTGATGATTAATTGTGCAGACAGTGTCTTTTTATAGACAATTTGTTACGCCTGCAGTTTAGACATCTATAAACTCCAAAATGCATTGGATTCTTGCATCTATTAAAAAATTTATACTGTGGTTTTCTCTCAAATGTTAATGATTTTGGGGTGTGTTTAAAACATGCACTGTGAACTAAGTCTTGATTTGAAAACATGAATCTCTCATCTATTGGCAACACTCAGAAAGATTGTGCAGGCTTAATCAATATCTTTAGTCTTAAACCAACCTTCCCTCTCTCCTTCCCTCTCCCTCTCTCTTTCCCGCTCTCTCTCTTCTCTCTCGTAGTCATCTCTTCTGTGTATTTCAAAGCGCCGTTCGAATCCGTCTTTGGGTCTCCACATGTCCACTAGGAGCAGGGGACATTCCCACGGGGCCACACATCTGCGACACTCCGTCTCCCATTTGAACGCTCCATCTGGCTGCTGCACGGGCTTTCCAATGACATCACACAACAGGAAGTCCTCTGGGCTGTACTTCTGAAGAACTACAAGGAAACAAGGAGAGAAAAAGCAGAACAAACAGAAACGAAATACTGAATGGTTTATGTATTAAATTATATTATTCCAATGGCAGTTAGAAGTAGGAATGTTACAATATTCCGCAATCGGGAAATGTCAGTATTGCAAAAGTACAATAACAACAATGTTAAAAGGAATGAACCAGAACTATGCAATATCCATACTTACATAATACAAAAATAGACCTTTAACCATCTATAATATACTATTAAAGTCATTTATGAGACTGGCCAAAAAATAACTAACTTTCATTTATATTAGATCACCATTCCTTTAGTACTGGGGTATCCAAACTTTTTTCCCCACAGGGCCGAATATAGAAACACATTCCAAGAAGAGGGCCATAGACCAGTGATCAATACAGTGAGTTTTTAAGATGGTGCATTTCACATATTTTTGAAAGAGCCACTTTACCTTTAATAAGGTTGTGAACTTCAGTTTTAAGTCTGTATCATAATGTAACATGATGTTATTGAGGTTATAGGGGTAGTAGAAATACTTACATTTGCCATTAAAAGTGCTGTCTGTGATCAATCACAAACTCAGCAGGAAGCCTGAGGGCCAACAGAAACTGGTCTAGTTTGGACACCTCGGCTCTTATGTGACTAGAAAGAAGTTAAAAGTTGCAGTATTGTTACTTTTCTGGTTGTTATTGCTCTGCCTTGATGTTCACTCATCTGTCTTCATGGAAACAAGTAAATTACACCACTATAGGTCAAGTTACAGGTCAGATCTTTGGAAAGGCAACCTCGTTCACAGCAAGAATGCTGCAATTAAAATGAACAGAAACTGGACTAAGACTGTTCCAGGTGAAGCAGTAGAATCTCAAACACATGGCGAACCCTCAAACAGAAAGGTTACTGGTACATAGTTCCTAGTACATAGCACCTTTAATGTGTCATTAGGGTTCTAGTGTTACTTTTTCTATTGTGGCCATAAAGCCTGATCAGGTCTCAGAAGCAGGGCTGGGCCTGATGAGTACTTGGATGGGAGAACACTAGGAAAATCAGGTGCCACAGTGGGGCACCAGTGGCAAAAACTGCTGTTGTGTCCTTAGGCAAGGCACTTCACCTCCATTGCTAAGTATGAATGTGGTGTGTGTGAATGTTAGTGGTGGTTGGAGGGGCCGATGGCGCAGATTGTTAGCCTCATTTCCATCGGTGTGTCCCAGGGCAGCTGTGGCTACAGTAGTAGCTTACCACCACCAAGTCTGGAGTGAATGAATAATGAACTGTAAAGTGCTTTGGGTATCTTGAAAGGCGCTATATAAATACAATGATTAATTAATTAATTAATAACTTTTTAGGAGTATACATTCACTTGAAATTACTATTATACTGCTTTATTGTGACCTGTATTTTTCATGATTAATCATCTAATCTCGACATTCCTAGATGTGGAATATACAGTATATTGGATAAAAAATTCCTCTTCCCATACCTGTGTCCTCTGTCTCCTCCCTCTCTCTCTCCGTGTAGCGTGTAATGACCTGACAGATGAGCTGCCGAGCTGTAGAGTTAACACTGGCCAGCAGGGAGCGGTAGTTAGCCCCACTGGAAAGCGCATCACCATAGATCTTTATTAGCCCAGGGGCAGAAGAAGACCCGGGGGGCAGGTAGTGATGTGACGAGGGGGCAGCAGAGTGCGCCCAGACCTCCCTCTCTCTCTCACCCACTGCCTTGTCCCGGTCACTGTTAGAGCGCCCCCGCAGGAAGAGGTGAGAAAGACGCTTCGCCCGAGACTGGGGAGCGGCGGGACGAGGGCGGAGGAAGGCGGGCGACGGAGAGGGCGATGGGGTGGGGGAAGCCAGGGAGGGGGTGGAGTTTGAGAGGGAGGAGGAGGGGGCAGAGGGGGCTTCGTGGAGGGAGGCTGCGTCAGAGCTGGTGGTAGATCTGGGAACAGAAGAGGGGCAGAGAGAAAAAGAGGAAGAGGGCAGTCAGCTGTGAGTTATGTCTATGTCTAAAAAGCACAAACAACAAAGTCTAAAATAACACAGGATTCAGATTGCAGGAAATGCGACAGTGGAAGTAATGACATCAGTGCATCCTATGACATGGGACTGACTTTTCAAATCAATCTGCAACGCACATCAGTGTTTATGCAGAGGTGCAATTACAGTAAAACTTTAACAAAACAACTTAAAAAAAATAAAATAAATAAACAGCATTGCATAAGCACACACAAAAAAGCCTTCTACTGATTTCTTTTTATAGTATAAATAGTATTGTATAAATGTATTGTATCAAACTTAAAGGTGCACTGTATGGCTTTTCAGGGGGCTTTTGTTCCACAGTACAGTATTAAACTTCATGGAGACAAGCAGGTAACACAACCAGGACAAGTTACAGGTCAGATACGTGGAGTCGCAATCCTGCTCATAAAAAGACAGCATGTTTTTCCTAAGATACTTTCAGGAAGCTCTTGAATTTGAATTGAATGAAAAGAAGATATAACTTTAAAGCCATAAAGCAATAACATCTCCATAGAGACAAGCATGTGGTGGTATCATAGTGCACCTTAATAGCATTTGTCAAATCAGTTTCATGCATAAGTGTATGGGACTGACTGTATTTTAAATCTTTAGACTCACCTGACAGAGACAGCACTGGGCCAACGACGTCCTAACTTTGCAAAGTGTTTTCGAGGGGAGTTGATCCACAAACCGACAGGGAAATGGAGCTTCCTGGCACGGGGACTACCAGACCCCTCCATCTGACATGAGAGGAAAAAATATATAAACTGTTTTGTCATAATACATACATAACCATGACTCAAACAAAGTAACAATACAATGATATCGTGAAATTTAAAGGAAACAACTTGTAAAGAGTGCAACCTAATCCCAAAAATATATGTCGCAAATTCTACAGACACTGGATGGACATTATGGGATAATCTTAATAGCAATAATCAGATTAAAGTATTGTCATCCATCAAAAATTGTTCTATAAATGTCTTGTTTGAGATCCAAGTATCACACAAACAGTCTTGGGACACAAAACTGCAGATTGGTAAATCGTCACATTTTTATATAGTGCTTTTCCACCTTCGAGGCACTCAAATCGCTTTACATCAAGGAACTCACTCATTCAGCAGTGTACGCAGACACTGGGGGTGAATAGGTTAAGTGTCTTGCCCAAGGACACAATGGCAGCATTCATCTGTGGGAGCTGGAATCACACCAGCAAAGTCAGTGGATTTGACCACTCAACCAATCATATTCATGTCAAGAGCAGGATTTAAACTACCAACCTTCGGATTTTTGGACAAACACTCTACCAACTGAGCTACAGTCACCACTTATTGTTTTTTTTTTTTTTTATTCTTTTCTGCTGAAAGGTCAGGTACCCTCTTGTATCCATGGAGAAGTTATCACTTTAAACGGAGATGTGCGAACTGAATTGCCCTTTGGGATTAATAAAGTTGTTGATTAATTGATTGATTGATGGATCTATCTTGCATTTATTTCATTTCAAGTGTTTTTATTGCACTTTGTGAGCAGGGGCACCTCTCCACACATCTGACCTGTAACTTGGCCTAATGGTGTCACCTGCTTGTTTCCATGGAGATGGATAAGCTAAATGACATACTGTGGAACATTCAAGGACCAGAAAAGTCACATCATGTACCTCCTTTAAACATGCTTTTTGTAACTTTTCTGATGGACTGTCACCACCTGCTTTTCTCCATGGAGATGTTATTGCTTTGTCTGAAATGTTTCACAATATGGCATTAAAACTTTCTAACATCTAGGTATTTTTGAGTAGTAAAAGCACCTGTCATGGAGTAAATGTAAAGGAGATCTGTTTAATGTCATATTGTGGAACATTTGGAAACAGAACATTGACATCTCCATTGAAACAAGAACGTGACGGACCCCCAAACTGAAAATTTACATAGTGCGCCTTTAATTAAGCATTTTCAGCTAATTTTTGTCACAATACACACAATTTTGTAACTTTGCTTTTCTTTTTATATCTCAGTACAGTGCTCCTCATTGTATTGCTTTACATTGCTTTCTCATAATGCAGATGTGCACACAATTCTTACAATAAAACAATAGAATGATGTCACAAAATCAACAGGAAATAACACTGTCAACACTGAAGCTAACCGAGAGTATCCTAATCCTAAAAATATATTGTTCGTGTTCCAGGTTTTCAAACAGGAAGTCTCTGGTCCAGCTGTTGAAAATGGAATTACCCCGAACTTTGCCTGGGCAAGTCTTCCATGAAAAAAAGTACAATCCTTTATGCTTGGTTGGACTGTATTTTGTTACCACTTAATAATAATAATTACTCACACTTCCACTATATTACATTACACTGTTAAAAATGTTAAATAAAATTGTATTACAAGATAAAAATAGTATATATAGGTGAAAAAAGACATTGGAAATCACACAATAAACAAACAGAGCAAAAGTTTAGTATTTGAATATATATTTTAACTTACCCAGTCTTTTCTTCTGCTTTGTATAGTCTTTTATAATGATCCGTAACCAGACGAATTCCACATACGCTTAAATTAATCCCTTTATATACCGCATTTCTTGTTTTTCATAGTTATATCCCATTTTATGTCACTCCGTGCCTTGATAAAACTAAAAATTAAACTTGAAATCTGTAACTGAATGAGTGCTGCTCCCTCCAGCTTTCCCTAACTTTTCTGGTCTATAGATAGAGAAACGGGCCCATTGTTCTTAGTGACAGAATTTCCTTCCTTTGTAGTGGACAACACCTATATCCTGACTGAGAAAGAGAGAGAGGGATAGACTGGTTTAATGCCACGTTAAATGTTTGAAACTATTTTTAAGTTGGGGCGCATTATAAACTAAACAAGCTATTCTTAAATTAAACGCAAAGTGCTTACATTATTTTAGTTTTATCATTATTATTAATTGCTGTAAGTAAAAGTATGTAGTTACAGGCGTAAAGTTTCATTTGCAAGTCAAAAATACACTGTGTAATTTATGGAGATATAGAGCCTGTGTCCATGAAGATGGCATGTTCCGCAATATGGCATTAAACGTCTAACCTGCATTTAGTCAAGTACAGGTATGTCCAAAACACCTGTAAAAATGTGCATTCTTACTGTTCGCGCGCTCCAGTCCCCACAGATCTGACCTTTAACTTGGATTAATGGCTTCCCCTACTGGTCTCCATGGAGATAATTGAACTTAATGTCACATTGTGGAGCATTCTAGATATGTAAAGTAATATCATCTCCATGGAGACAGATTGGTGGCGTGAACCTCCACCACAAAGGTTACATAGAGCATCTTTAAGTTCAGTAAAGTTATGGATTTTACAGGAAAGAGAAAGAAGGAAGCCCACTGAGAGACAGGAAACACCAGACACCTGTGATCTTTGACATTGTCCTCGACAGGAAGATGCAGAGAAAGGACCTCCTGTGTCCCACATCAGGGAATACGTCCAGAGCAAAACCACATTTCTGCGCCTGGTACGTCACAGTCCAGTAGGCCCTGTCCTGACTGAGAGAGGAAAAACATATTACGACCTTTTATAGGCATCTCAGTCTTAACATTTCACTCAAGTAATAGGGATTTTTTATATACATATTCTTTACCGTCATATTAAAAAATAAATTTCTTAAATAGGCATATGACTGATCCAACAGAATTTCAAAAACTATAATTAATATTACTATATTTTCATAATCTTTGTGAGAATGGATTACAGACGGATAGGTTTAGGATTCACTGAGTAAAGATACTGAGTAAAATACAAAAATGTTTTATTACTGGGGATGTTTCAGTTGCATTAAAAGGCTAGAAAAACATGTCCTTACAATGAAGTGGTCTTGCTTCTCCACAAACTTGACTCTTTTTTGGCCTGAAAGAAAGCATCTGTCTGCTTGTCTCAGAAATTTATACAACAGATAATACTTCCTGCAACTGTACAACAACTGTCTGTTATCTGTTGCATAAGGGTGTATGCAATAGATAACCCTATGTCCTGTCAATCATTATCTCATTGTTGCACTGTCTTCCTATGACCTCTTGTATACAGCTGAGATTTTATAATTTATTACTTATTTTTCTATTTTATTTTGACTTGTACATTTACATGTATATAATTATGTCTTATTTGACACCTGTCTCTTGCTATCTTTTTTGCTACTTATTTAGAATTTCTTATTATCATTTATATTTTTTACTCTTTGTTATTATATTAAATTTAATGAGTGAGCTACTGTGTCCAAATAATTTTCCTTGTGGATCAATAAAGTTTGTCTAAGTTTAAGTCTAAATGATGTTCCTTTGGCTCTAATATTTCACACAGTATGGTATAAGATGTATCTATCTCGTTATAAATGTTCAAAAAAGTTGCTTATGTTATATTAATTCAACAATAATCATCATCATTGTCGTTTAAGGATTTATTTATTTATTCATTTGTTTATTTCTTACAGGAGGCCTCAAAAACAGACGCATTTACGCTATGACGCAATTTCCCGTCATTCTCTACGGCTGACTGAAAGGACATCAGAGGGCAAAGCGACGCTGTTGGCGCTCTTAAAGATGTAAGTTTACGTCTATTTATCGCTCTTAATCTTACGTTTATGCAGTTTATAAATAAACTGAAGTGAATTTAATATTGTAGTTGATAATTTGACACCCGGATTGGACTTCATTCGGCGTATTTAACCTTGTGTATCTTATGATTTTAGCATTGGGCTAACGCTAAGCTAATAGATGATGATGTAGCTTTCAGGTCGAAAAGCGTCAACGGCGACAACAAATGTTTAAATCACTGCTAAAACGATGAACGATGCATGTCTTGTTTATTTAGGAGCATAAACTACTTGCTGTAATATTTGTGTCGTGGTACAGGTGTCTTTGGTTGTTGACAGCTAATGTTGCTTCTCTTGTGTTTCGTGCTAACCTTGTGGATTCTCATGTGTTATATCTTTTCTCTCCCAGATCTAAAACTAAAAACCTGACAACATGGCCGACGCTATTGAAACAAAGATCAAGAACTACAGGACTGCTCCATTTGACTCCAGGTTTCCCAACACCAACCAGACCCGTAACTGCTTCCAAAACTACCTAGGTAAGAACCAGGGTCATTGTATTAACTGGACAAACTGGACAACAAGATGTACATGATAAAAGTATTATCTATGGTTTAAATTTACCATAACAATGATATCTATTGAAGACTTTGCTGTAATTTATCAGCTGACATCTTGATGAATAACAAGGCCTATTACAATAACATATTTTAACAAAGATATTTTGCGCAAAAAAATGGACAGTAAGCAGAAATACTGAAACTACCACACTGAGACCATAATATCTAGGGCTGGGTATCATTAACAAATTGCTGATACAATACATATCTCAATACAGTGAGTTTTTGATTCAATACTATTCGATATATTTTTCAAATTGATTCCAAAAAATTATGGTGAAATCATGGATGTGACACTAAAAGTCTTTGTTAAACCACTTCTTGTGCAAAGTTAATATGAAACACACAAGTTTTAAATCATCAAAATTGTGAAAATGTCAAATGTGTTGAGTTTCCTTGCTCAAAACAAAACAAAAAACAGTAGTGACAAAATAATTTAGCAAAATACATCAAAAAATATATATGCTCTCGATATATCGATACAACAGTCCACAATATCAATACTGTATCACATTAAATTATACAATATATTGATATTTCAATATTTTGCAAACCTCGAATTATATCTGTAATGTTTATTGTTCTGCTATCCACAACTAAAGTCTTACCACAGGCCAAATACTACAAAATAAACACTTGTCTTCCCTACTAGTTTATGGTATACTAATGCAAAAAAAAGGTACATGCAGTTAATATTGTTTACCTTTTTAGATGCTGAAGATGAATAAATCGAATTATTGTGACAGGCCTAAATACTGACTGTGGTAATTTCATTCCATGTTTTCTCTCTTACCCAGATTATCACAGGTGCAACAAGGCCCTGTCAGAGAAGGACCAGGACACATCCCCCTGTGACTGGTACCAGAGGGTGTACAAAAGCATCTGCCCCTCAGGATGGGTAAGTTTACAACAGTGGTTAGAATAATACTTACACACTTTCTCTCATCAATGGGTAGTGCTGGTTTTATTTTGTTAATATTATTTCTCAGTAAAAAAAAATATTCAAAGCAATTATCTGTTGGGTCCAGATAACACTGACAGCTCTATAGAAAGTTACTTGGAAGTCCCAGCACAAATTATACAAACCAATTTAAGTCTCTCCTCTCCTCTCTTTTTTTTTTTTTTTTTTTTTTTTTTTTTTTAATGAAAATTGTCTGAACTTGTATAACAATATTTCTGTTCATAACTCTTTTTTAATGGTTTTAAGTAATTACTAAATTTATGGTACTTATTGAGACTGTTATTTAAATACTTATTTTGTTTAATTATGGGTATTGTGGAAAAAATGAATAGTACACACCTAGTTCTTTCAATTGGCTATGTCGAAATATATTGTAAAATTCATGCCTTTTTGTTTTTTTTTGTCTTCAGGTGAACGGTTGGGATGAAGGCATTGAGAGCGGCAGTTTTGCAGGAAAAGTTTAAATGTAGCACCTCCGACCTGGACAGTCGACTTAAATTATGTGACACCCTTCCGTACTGTGCCTAAGGACATATTCAACCATTACACAGACACACTACTCTTGTTCTGTTACCGTAAAATTTGAACCACGCACAACTTTTTACTGTCAAAACATGAAAGGTTTCTCAAGTCCTTTTTTAAATGAATATTGTTCACAATAATTCCAAATCCATAAAATGGTCTTATAAATGTTTTGCTAGACTGAAAACAAATAAAAGATGATTGACTCTACACTTGGCCTGCGTTAAGTGGTATTATTAATGTAATATCTATAAAACTAATGTACAAGCGGTTACAGTAGATAATTATTAATTAAGGTTAAAGTATCATTTCTATAAAGCATTAATAACATTATTATGACGGTGGAAGAATTTGGAAAATAAGCAATTAAAAGAATTTCCCCTTATTAATGAAAAAGTGTAATTATGAAGTCGAGGTTTTGCAAAACCAATTGCTCAAGCATCCTTCTGCCACATGATGGTGCTGTTGTGCTTTGAACATCCAGGCAAAACAACTGAGGAGAAGATAGTTTTTTTTTTTTTTTGCTTTAATGAATGGACTGTACTACTGAATGTAATGTAGCTGTTGTAATGGCACTTTAGAAATTGATATGTTTAAGGAAAAAGACTTGATAGTTTAATAATTTCTACTAAAATTATGTCGAATTAGTTAATTATTAAACCCTTGGCAGTAATTTATAAAACATATTGTGATTCTACTTGATTTCAGCTACAGTATTTGATTGCTTTTACTTTGATGAAGCGATATCCCATGTGTATAATTTTTGAACTGAGTATTGGTTATGTGTCTGTCTGACTTAACCACAAGAGGGCAGTGTAGTACTTTCAAAGCAGTCAAACGTAAATACAGTCCAGTACATTTAGATCTACTTTACCCAAACCTCTTACAAAACTCAAGTAAAACACGCTCTCTGATTTCTGTCTTACATTGTGACAATTTGTCATTAGAAATAACAGAGTTTATTCACTATTTGTCTGATTAAAGCCTTGTCAAATTAATTATATATGGGATGATTTACAGGTTAAGTTGGAGAATATATCATTTACATTATAATGAAGAGATGCAAAATGGCAAAGCTGACAAAAAGATGCAAAATAAGTTGACTATTTTCTTGTGTAATCTAAACGGGAATACTTTTGAGTAGTTTATAAAGTTTATATCCATATCCATAATTTTTTGTGCAGTACTTCTACCAAGATATTTTGGATGGATGGCAAAAAAGGAAAAAACTGCACTGAGACCAAAGACCAGAAAGGACAACAACAAAAGGTATTCAAGGTACATTTTTTTTGTTACTAGTATTAAAACAATAAAACCAATGTGACAAATGCAAAACTTTTATTTTTGCAGTGTCACTCTGCCCATATTCTACCCGAAGAGGTCATTTTAGAAGCATTGACTAACTATACAATAACAAAAGTAAGCTATGTGATCTATTTATTATTAGACAAATATGTGTTATGTCAGAGAGTCATGTGTTTTTACTGACACATATGTGGTTTGCTCTGTCCTATCTCAGTGAATTGCTATCTTTCCTGTTTAGACTTGTGCGAATGACTCTCTTCCTGTCACATAAGTTTCGATAAAATGTGACCAATTTTTGAACAGGCGTCTTTGTTTCCTGTAATCAGCTTTTAATAAGGTCATTAAACCTGCACTGTGAATTTTTTTGTTTTTTCCTGAAATAGTTTTTCCTTGTACTATATTGTCTAGAAAGTAGAAGGATGCTACTTTGACACGTCTCAGTATTTTTAGGATATTTTTGCAGTTTCCGATGAGCTAAAATTCACTGTAAATTTTCAGTTACCACATATTTCCTTTCTTTGAATTTTTTGTTGCAATCCTGTGACAATGATGAAGTCTTATTAAAACCTGGTTTAGATCTGGTGGTACTCTGAAAGGATGATCTTTTCTAGGTGGTACTTGGATTCAAGGATTTATTGTCAGTGTCACAAGTAACAACAAAATTATATTTAGAACACTTAAAGCAGAATTAAGTAAAAATTTTACCTTAATTAATGTCTTTCAAAGACCCTCTGATGGTCACATATGTCATTTTGGGGTGTTTGAAGGGTACCGACCCGGTGTCAGCTCATGGGGTTCTGTTCTCGTTCTCGCGAGACCCAAATTGCTTTACAGCACTTCAACATACACACAGGTAACTAGCTAGCGACACGCCCCTTACTGATGCTATTTGCAGATCACTGCAAGAATAAATATCTAGTGTTTATTTGTGAGGTGTCATCCATGGCACACCCAGCTGAGAGACAGCGGAAGCCTTTGTCGAGGATGCAAGGAAAAGAAAACGTGAATGGGACAGGACCAAGCTCACAGGAGTCAATGTGGGAAAGGAGTTTGAGGAATAACAGAGCTCAAGAAAAGAAAAAGAGTGACGCAGATCTGGAGATATTGTTATTGAACATGTAAGTTTCAATTGCACTGCTCGTATCACTGTTGTAGTTATGTAACTTGAGAAATTGTTACCTTTAGTACACATTTATCTTGTTCGTAGATGCTGTTATTAGCATGCTCCGTTTCCCATTGTAGCTATGAAGCTGAACCATTAGATTGACACACGTTGTATAAATCGTTTGATTTGAGCAGCTCATGTCTCATCTGCATGCAGGATATGTACAGCTTGTGTTGTCAGTGAGCAAACACAAGTGCAATTTGGAATTTTAGCCCTGACGTGATATTTATGGCTACGTTTACACTGAAACGTATCACAGTATTGGAAACGATTTGCGTCCAGACATGTCCCTTCTGTGTCCGTAAACCTTCCCTATCCACAGAGCTTTGAACATATTTGTTTACGTTTTACAGCAACGAAAATTAAAACCACATGGCTAATTTGCATAAACTGAGCTCTCAAAAAACAGCTCGCTGTTGTGCGCTGATGCGGTTAAGTTTGATGCGGAATATATGTGTTCTTTCTGTGACAGAGGGGTGTTCTGCTATGGTGAGCCTGTTCTGTGCTTCTGTCGCAACGAACAACTAAAATCAGCCCGTATGTTTAGTAACGCATTTGTGTTGGATCAGCCCGTTTGGAATTTCGAGGGGAATTTCAAATGATATTATTTATTTAAAGAGTAAAATAACATTACCCACCTGAGATATTTTGTTGCATACCATGTTCACCAGGTTTGTGAAAACAAAAGTGAGCACTCACCTGAGCAGTGGGAGAGGTGGGGAGAGTATTTACGACAGTGCATTTTCACTAGCGACCTGTTGGGGGAGCACTACCGCCAAAGTTACTTAGTTCTGCTAATATATACTCTATATAAATGTATATGTACAAGTCAAAATAAAATAGAAAAATAAGTGATAATTAAAGCCGCGCGCGGCGATGGTGGCCCTCGCCCCGGGCGCGCACCGCCCCCCCATGCGACCTCCAGGGACTCGCGACCGCCCCGGCACGTCACCCTCTCTTCCCGACAGCTCCCGAGGCCAACAGCTCGTCCACCAGAAAAATGACATAGTGTACCTTTAAAATTGGATAAAGTGAATGATTCTAGAGACAAACTGTAGACACTAAGCCACAGGTCACGTGACTTTAATGGTCAAGAGCACTGTCACACTAAGACTAAGTGCATGAAAACACATCCTCCACCAGAAAAGTTACATAGTGTGGCTTTAAATTTCTCAGAAGTGAAATTATTCTAGAGGCCAAAGTGTAAAACTAGGGCATAGGTCTTACAGACTTTTATGATGAGGAGTACGTCAGTGAATGTTTTGGCAAAGTTTTACAAATGAATGTAAAACTAATTTTATGTCACACAATAATAAATTGTGTGCATTCATATAGGTGGCGCTGTATCCCTGATAACTGTATTTGACATATCAACGGAATAAGGGTCATGCAGTGTATAACTGATAGAAATGTCATCACAATCGGACAAAACATGTGCATATAATAATTTTTACAATATTTTTTGGAGGATTCTCTGTGCCCCTGCTGGCCAACCGTGAAAAATACACCATGACTGTAATAGACATTTTAGCTTATAATCATGCATAGAATTTAACCCCCGACTTTGGTCCAAGTCCGATAATGTTAACATTTCATAAGGTAGGGTGCGCTATACTGTTCACTTTTCATATGTTTTATAGTTTATTATATTCGACGCGAAAAGTTCAGCATTTTCAACTTCTTGACGCTGACGCTTTGGACGCGCGTCTTGGCCGCTGACGCCAAAACGCTCAAGACGCGCCGCGTCGACGCCAGATTCGCGCCGCGCTGACGCCGAAAACGCGCCGCAAAAACGCAGGACGCTCTAGTCGCGCGTCCACATAGACTTTACATAGAAAGTGGACGCTTTGATGCTTTGGTCTGAACGGGCCTTAAGGTAGGGTGCGCTATACTGTTCACTTTTCATATGTTTTATAGTTTATTATATTCAGACCAATATCCCGCATTAGTGATTCAAATTTCAGCACAATCGAACTAAGCATGTCCCTGTAATCATTTTATAAATATTTTTTGGGGGATTCTTTGCGCCCCTACTGGCAAACCGTGAAAAATGCATCATGTCCGTAATAGACTTTTTTGCTTGTCATCATGAATTTAATTTCTGAATTTGGTCCAAATCCAATAATGTTGACGTTTCATGTCTATGCTAGGGGGCGCTATAGAGTTCATTTTTCATATGTTTTAAAGTGTATTATATTCAGGCCATGATCAGGCATTAGTGATTCAAATTTCAGCACGATCGGACTAACCTTGTGGGTGTAATTATTTTTTAACTATTTTTTGGGGGAGTCTTTGCGCCCCTGCTGGCCAATAGTGGAAAATGCATCATGTCTGTAATAGACTTTTTTGCTTGTAATCATACATAGAATTTATGCCCCGAATTTGGTACTAATCCAATAATGTTGATGTTTCACGTCTATGCTAGGGGGCGCTATAGAGTTCACTTTTATTAAATTTCATATTTCATCACATTCAGGCCTGGATCACGCAATTGTGATTTGAATTTGAGTTCTCTAGGACAATGCCTGTGGCCGTGACAGGTCACCGAAAAAACAGGAAATGAAGGCGTTATTCGCCGGCGTGCTACGGGCGAACCGTAAGGAGTATCCCAAAAAAATTTGGCAACTTCTGTGAGTTCATGTCTGTAGATGTGACATGTCAAATCTGAGGTCATTTGGACCAAACCCCGGGGACTTGAATCTTTTTGTAGACCCCCAAGTCAAAACGGCGGCGAATGTTT